CACAGCTCTCTCTGTAAGGCAGAGAAATTCCCCCCCAACGGTGTTAGCAGAAGAGCCAGGCACCAGATTCAATTAACTCCCAAGGCTTCCAAGGTATTTTTTTCCTGCAGTGACAGCTCCGGAGGAACATGCTGGGTAATAGCTCAGCATCCTTGGCCAGGAGAGATGAGTTTCCCTGTTTCTGCAGGCTCCTGGCCAATTTAACCCTCTGCTCCCCAATGCTTGCAAAGGAGCCCCCCACAGCAGCAGGAGAAGCAAGGAGGCCGTGCAGTGGGGGGTGATGGCTACAGCCAAGTGAAAGCAGTGTCACCAGTTATCTCCCAGTGATGGCAGGTGGGCTGTGATCTTCCACATGCCTCAGAGGGGGGCAGCAGGATGAGGGCAGGCAGATAGGGATGGGGTGCTGACTTCCCTGAGAGCCTGAGAGTGCTGGTGATGGGACAGGAGCTGGTGGGTGTCAGTGATGTGGCAGCTTCTCTGCCTGCTCCTGGGGCTGCTGCAGCCCCCCAATGGTACCTGAGCAGAACGGGCCTATGGCTTTTGGGCTGGGAAAGGGTGGCTGAGGAGGGGAACGAGCTCTTCCCCTGGGTAGGATCATCATCACAGGCACGGGGCAGGCTCCTGGGAGGTGGGATTCAGAAGGAAATTGAGCTGTATTATTTTCCTGTGGTTCATAACAGCGGGAAATAATGAGCAGAGTCCAGAGGTGAGGGCTCCTCAGGACCTCTGGCACTTGCTTGGCCCAGCATTGCCCTCACCTCTGGGCAGCCTGCCAGCTGGGCACGGGCTGGGTGCATCGCTCATCAAGAGGATTTTGAGAACAAGGGATAAAAAGCGTGAAGAAAGTGCACATATTTTCTTATTATCTTAGAAAGCCAAGAAACACCTGTCATTCAGCACTTGAGCCCCCCGGTGCATTTTGGACAAGCCTTTTAAAGATACCCAGGTGCCTGATTCCCAGGGGATAGACCTGTTCAAGTACTGACCTCTGCAACTGCACATTGTGTAGGCAGATGTCCCTGGCCCCAAGAGATGTGACTGTTCTGCTCCTCCGTGCAATGTTCATCTTCTCCACTTCTCTGTCCACAAAGCCTGTTTGCTTAGGAATAATCCTGTTCCTTGAGTGTGTGGGCAGTGTGGAGCTGTGACAGGGAAGGTAAGTCAGGGATGGCAGCTGGGGTGGCTCTGGCTCAGGTGGTTGCTGCAGTGGGCAGCTGTCCTTTGGGCAGGAGGAGCTGAGGTGGTTGGACTCGGTGATCTCAGAGGTCTTTTCCAACTGTGACAATTCTGTGAGATGGGCTGTCTCTCCCAGTGGTGCTTGGGGCTGAGATCCACGCAGCTGTGGTCCAAGGACTGTAGCAAGATCATTCAGACCTGTAAACTGGAGCTGCGAGCGCAGCCGGGATGTTCTCAGGGGTCACCCACGCTGGTGGGAGATATCTTGGGGGGGTCCCCCCCAGCTGCAGCAGGAAGCTGGCAGGCTGTGCACGGACAAAGTGATGGAGCACAAGGTGCCATGGCAGGAGGGAGAGCAGATCATTCCTGTCCTCTGCAGGAGGACACCACAGGGCCTGGAATGAGCCCACAGCATCCAGCCCATGCTGTGGGAAACCTTCCTCCTCCCCACCCTGCCATGCCCCGCTCCCCTGGGGCCGGTACCTGTGCTGCTGGTGGCATCTGCAGCTCCAGGACATGGACACCTCCTGTCACCTGCTCAGCGTGGGATCCGTGCTGCCAGATGCCACGGCAGGAAGGCAGTATCAAGGCCAGGCTGGGGGCAGGGGGATGGGAACTCATTAGTGGTGTCGCTTTTAATCAGGAGGCAGGTGCTGCTTCTCCTTGGGTCTGGGGACCAGGTGAGTGATGGAAGTGGCTGCAGCCTGAGCGGGGAGAGGGGCTGGGGTGGTGGTGTTGGGAAGGTATCCGTGCCAGGGAGAGGAAGGTGGCGTTTAGTGTGTCCTCACAGGGGCTGAGATGTGGCAGGGCAGACACATTGAGAAGCCACCCAGGGAAAGCCCTTTGTGGGGGGAAGCCCCTGAGTGATGCCCAGTCTTGGAGCTCTCAAAGCCCCAGGAGGCACAGCTCACCCTAAGGGCAACGCTGGTGGCTCTGGGGAGGGAGGGGATGTTGTGATCTCCTCCAGCTCTGACTTTCTGATATTGAAACGTGAATTGCAGTAGACAAAAAACTACATTTCCCAGTTTCCCTTGCAGCCCAGGGGAATAAGCAATTGGAAGATTTAAATAGACCAGGCCAGAAACAACCAACCTTTGGCATGAAGCTTCTCCCTCCTCTTCTTCCAATCTATTGGCTGCTTAACCTTTTTCCCTGGCACTGGAGTGGCTGCCAAGCCTGGCATTAATTTTCCTTCCAAGCTTGCTAGGCCCACGAAGTAAACAGCCATGTGCATTCCTTACTCTATATTTAACAGCTGCAGCCTGTGCTGGGGGCAACAGCAACTGAGGGGAACCTTTGTAGCTTCCCAAATTCACAGCTCGTGAGGGTGGGAGTGGGGGAAGCTTTCTGCAGGGAGAAGAGGGATTTCTCTCCTTCCCGGTGTTTGCAGAGCAGGTTGCACTAGAGACTGCAATGCCAGCATCCCAGCCACGGTCCAGAGCAAGAGACAGGAACAATGTCCTCAACAGGGCCGAGTTCCTCTCCCTGAATCAGCCCTTGAAGGGGAACCAGGAGAGCAGGAGCTCTGGCAGAAAGCAGAGCAGCCAGGCCGGGGCTGCTGGTCCCCAGAACAGCAGCCCCAAGGAGCGGAGGCAGTCGCAGCAGCTGCCCGAAGAGGACTGCATGCAGCTCAACCCTTCCTTCAAGGGAATCGCCTTCAACTCCCTGCTGGCCATCGATATCTGCATGTCCAAGAGGCTGGGAGTCTGTGCCAACACGGCCTCCTCCTGGGGTGGTGCCCGCTCCATGATCAACCTCCTGGGGATAACGGGGCACGGGATCCCCTGGATTGCGGGTACCCTCATCTGCCTGGTGAAGAGCAGCACGCTGGCAGGCCAGGAGGTCCTCATGAACCTGCTGCTAGGTGAGTGGCAAACCTTCCTTCCTGTTGGGAAAGCCCAGCCCTTGGTCACAAGGGACAGTGGTACCAAGACTCCTCCTCTGGCTGCTCCCAGCCACCGATGTGGGCAGGAAGCAGGGAGTGACCTTTAGGGTGAATGCTGCACTTACCAGCCATCCTGGTCCTGGGTACCATGGGTGGTGGATGTAGCAAAAGTTGTCTTAAGGGGGATAGAGTAATCGTGGTGACACCCACAGAGCAGGAGCAGGTCCCTGGTATTGTGTGGGACAAGGTTGTGTGATCAAGCCAAGGAGGTGTCTGTGATGTGCAGGTGGATACCAGCAGTAAGGTCTTTTATTTGATCTATGGTCATCTGCTGTGGTGGTTTGATAGGAGGGGAAAGCAGAAAGATTTTAGTCTTTGATCCATGGATCGATGCCTTGAGAAAAAATGCTTCCCATCCCCTTCTGCCTTCTGGACCAGCCCCTGCCTCCGTGGCTCAGCCACCGCGGGATGGAGTCCTGACTCCTTCCCTGCTGTGCTTTGATCTCACATCCTCCTTCCCATGAGGACCTTTCTTGCTGCTGTCCCCGTTTCCATGTGCTAATTTGACCCAGAGGCCACACAGACAGGCTGGCATCTTTCTGTCTCTCCTGCCAGTCCTTTCCTGTGCAGTTGACCACTGTGTCCTTGTTTCTGGAGGTTGGGATGTTTTGAAGGAGTTGCCTTCTCAGTTGAGCAGGGCCCATCCTACCCAGGTGGAGTCATGTCCCACCAGGGACCAGGCTGAGCCCTGGGTGTGACTTGCCTTAGGTCCTGACCCCAACCCACCACGTCCACCTGAGGACCTTGCTTTCCTTTTTCTTCTGCCTCGGGCACAGGGCCCCGTTACTGTACATTCCTTTTTGGCTAATGACCAGCTCCTCTGGCTGGGATCAGCCCGAGTGTTAAAAACCAGCAATTAGAGCTCCTGCTTTGGGTTGGTAAGAGAAATCAGAAACATTGGATTTAGGCCTTTGCTTCTCAGGGAGCCTTTTGAGAGGACAGAGGGACGTTTGATTGCAGAGGCACCTCAGGGAAGGGACATCCTGTCTGCAGGTGCCAACTGCAACGTGATGTGGGCTCTTCAACATGGCCCTGGGTTTGTTTTTCCACAAGTTCATCCATCGCAGAGGGCAAAGGTTGCACTGGACGGGCTTGAGAAGCACAGTGGTAGCTGCCTTTTCTCACCTCTGCCTTTGAAAGAGACTGTCCTCGTGCAGTGACATCCCATGAAGGGAGGCTGTGGTGGGGAAGAAGCCAGAATAGCTCGGCGTGAAGCAGAGCCAGGCAATGTCAGCAGTTCTGCCAGGAGCTCCTTGGGGCACCAGGTCAACCTCACACTGTTTGAAAGGGCACAAGGATGAAATAGGAGGTGACTGACATCAACCAGCACAGCTTCCAGGTGCCTCTTGACCCAAGAGCCTTTTGACTGTTTTGGAACCTGAAAAACCACCTCTTCCAATCCAAAATATTTGAGATTTTTTTTCAAGAGCTAATGCCACCTTCAGTTCAGAAACAAGAAAGGTTTTCTTGCACTTCTGTTGCCATCTGAGGAGGCCAAAGGCAAAGCCACCTCCAGGTCATGTTGGAAATTTTACTACCTGGTGGTTGCTGGGGGAGCTCAGCCCAGCACCACTGCCTGCACCTCCAGGTCTCCTGAGCCCAAACATGCTGCCTGGGGAGAACTCAAGGGGTTGCTGATAATCTTGCTTCCCTGCCTAGAAGCACTATTCTCACCCTTCTTCTCTGCCTGCCAAGAGAGAAAGTAGTTAAATAGTGTGAAGGTCTAGTTCACAACATGACTTGTCAGCTCCATAGGTCTGGCAGCTTCCAAAGAGCTCCACTTTGTCCTCCAAGTAGACAACACTGACTGATGGGACTGAACAAGGTGCCCTGAGCCTCTCTTGTGAGAGCTTGCTCAGCAGGACTTGTTCCCACAGAGCAGATCTCTGCTTGTGAGATGTTCCCTTGTGAGCAGGACTCACATTCCCACAGAGCAGATCTCTGCTGGGAATGTGGCCTTGGTTTGATATTTAAGATTGCAGTCAGGAACTTGAATATCCAAGTAGCTGCTGCTGTAACAGCTGCATTGCTGCTGGAGGAGGGAGCCTGGCTGGGGATCACAGGGCTGGTGGACCTAGACAGATCCCATGAGAACTGGGGTCTTGTGTAGACAGGAAGGGCATGGCACAGGTGCTGCATCTGGCATCCTTGGTCCCTCTTGCTGCTGGATTCCTGTGGTTCAGAACCATCAGGATGTGGTGTGAAGTCCTCCTGGATAGGGACAGGTCAAAGGGAAAGGAACCTGCTAGTGCTTCCCTGGTCTCCTGGAAAGAGGGAAGCAGGGAAGTTGGGGTTGTCTACAGTACCCCTTCCTCCCCTCCCCTGGCTCTCCTCCCTTCCCCCCCAGCTTGCTGAGAGTTTGATACATCAAGCAGCATTTCTGATGCAGTCTCTGGGCAGGGAGCCAGCCCATCATAGAGCACTTGTTTAGGATTTGCAATCAGGTTTTCAAGGCGATGAGACAGGAGACTGCTGAAATGGGACCAGGAACCTGGCAGAAGCATCACTGCAGATGGAGGGGGGCACTTGTACCCAAGGAGCTCTTGGCAGGAGCTTTGCCAACAGACACGGGAGCATTTCAGGTGAGGGGGCCTGACCCTGGGATGCTCCATCCATCCCGAGTGCAGATGTTGATTAGCAACCCCAAGCCATGTTCTCCTTCCATGTTTATCATCTGTGATGGAATTTATTGATTCTCCTCATCGTAATCTCTTCCAGCAAATGCCAAACAGCCAGAGGAGCACACTCACAGCCTGTTACTGAAAAGATGGAAGAAATCAGATAACTGTGCCTACTGTAAAAATTCCTCTGCCAGAATGTGCTTTCAGGAAGACTCTCTCAGCATTTCCAGCCCTGGCTGTTGAGGAGCCAGGAAGAAATTCTGCACAACACCCCCCACACCCCCACCCCCCCCATCCAAATGAGAGACTCATAACTTGGGAAACTCTCCCAACTTTAGAGTTAATTTTATTCATCTGATGCTGCTGGAACTTTCAGGACTGTTCAAGCTTTTCTCTGCAATCACAAGGAATGAACATGAAAACTGAGATGCTTAGGAAGCCATTTGAACTCTGCAATTGGGCTTTTGGGGGGAAAACAGATATAAAACTGTCACTAAAATTCCCAGATCTGCTCCAGAATCAGAGAGAAACTCCATTAGGCCCTGGGGGACGCAGTCCCTCAGTTTCTGGTTCTGATCCATCTGGTGAGGATATGACTCCAAATTTAGTGATTCATTGACTGCAAAGGCAGCAAAGAACATTTGGATCATTGATCTTACCCACGGCAAAATACAGGCTGTAGCACATCCCTTAATTTATTCCTGTTCAATTTGTTAAGGGAAAAAACCCAAACACTCAATTTGATGTACAATTACAAGGGAGGGTGAACTTGTCAGAACCATTTCTATATTACTGCAGTGGTAGATATTCTCACCAGCCCCTTGCTTTTAGTTTGACTCTCCTCTTCCCTCCATTCCACCCACTTACCCTTGTCTCTTCAGCTCTTTTAGCCAACATCTCTTCTGCCTTTCAATATTTTGGATAGTCCTCAAGTCATTTATTCATCTCCTATTTATTAAGCTGAATGGGTTGATCTCATGAGACTGATGGTTTTTCAGGTTCAGGCACCTTCTTGGTGTGGTGGGGATGGAATATGATCATCTACCCAAAGTGGTTGCTGTGGTGAAGTCCACCTATGGTGTTTAGAGCTAAATCACCACTTTGTTTAGTAATCTGCAGTCCAGCCATGTGCCTTTGCTGTCAGGGGATACCTGCTTGCTTAACCCCTGCTCATGAAATATTTATCTGTACTTGGTTTGAAATACCAACCATTAACCAGTTCTGGTTTGGTCATGGCTTCCTGAAACAGGGATTCAGATGAAGAGAAAGCAAGCCCTGGTCTTCTCGTTGCCTGTTGTGTCCCCTGTGTCCAGCTGCTGTCTCAGTGACACAGGTCCCAGTCCTCATCCATCACCAGCTGGCTCTGCATCCTGCTTCTGAGGGGTGGGTTGGTTCTTTGGGGCTGTCACTAAGCATTTATGGCCACCAAGTGAAGCAGGGCCATGGGGTAGGGATGTATCATTGGGAGCAGCATGGCAGGAGGAGGGTGGGTGGCTTGACACAGGAGGAGGAGAGGAGGGGGGCCCAGGTCACTTCTGCACTCCTGAAGGTCAGCCGGAAGGCAGTTCTT